ACCAGAAGCTGAAAGAAGAAAAGCAGCATCCAGTAGCCAACCTCTGCAGGAGGAAGAGAGGATGAAGACCTCTGTCAGACATGGGGCCTCCAGTTGGTGTCTGACATCACCTGATAGGAGCACCAAAGGCTCAGGGTCTCTGTCTGAAAGAGCTGTTTGTTGTTGGTGTTGTCCAGCAACTCACAAAGAGCTTTTAACCCTTGGTGTCTCTGACACCAGCTGGGATCCCAACTGAAAAGGGTAGTCACGGGGCATGAGGATGGGATGCCAGGATAGGCCGCAGTGGCACCCACCTGCCCGGGCTCTAAGACAAGAGGGTTGCCAAAAAGCCCCAAAGCCAAAACCAAGGGCTGTAGCAATACAGTACCCATATGATAGGGGCCTACAGGCTGGAGCCGAAGGAAGGATAGTGCCCAGTAGGGGACTCATCACTGTGGTTCTCAACGGTGTGCACAATTGCAAGAGACTTCAGGCTCTAGAAACAACCACCTTGGGGGCCTCCCCTGGTGGCGCAGTGGTTGAGTGTTGGGCTGCGAAGCTGCTTGCAGCCTCTACTGCCCGCAGCCTCTGCAGCCCGGTTCGATCCTGGCCACAGGTGAGGGTCCCACATGGCACAACAGTCCTCTCCTGCCACCCGCTGCTCCCCTCAGCAATGTACTTCGGTCCTTCTGCCTGTTCTGCTCCCTGCTCTGGCTCTGGTGAATTCTCTCACCCTCCCGCGCTTCTGACTATACCCAGTGCTTGTATAAATAAAATTAAAAAAAAAAAAAAGAAGTTCTGTTTGCAGAACTTCTAACCTCTTGGAACCCCCTGTGCACAGTAAGCAGGTGCTCTCAGAGACTCTGGTTCCCTTTAGGGCGGCAGGTGCCAGCACACCCGCAGAGGACCTTACACTACTTCAAAGGAAACAGGCACCCCCTGATCACTGCAGCACTATTTACAGTAGCCAAACTGTAGAAGGATGGTACATAGATAATAGGATACTACTCATCAAAAATCATAAACTCATGCCATCTGGGGCAACATGGATGGAGCTAATGGAAATAAGCTCAAAGGAGAAAGACAAATATATCACTTAGATATAGATATAGAAAAATTAAACAAAGGGCTAGTTTAAGCTATCCCTGGAGTCTCCCAGGTGGTGCCTGACTACTGGCTGGGGCTGCAGACCAGCCCAGACTTTCTGGCCTGGCAGATGGATGGTGGACTGACCCTCTCTAGTTTGACATCAAACTCACTTGACGACAAAGCCTGACTCCAGCTGACTGAATCCCCCATTGTGTCTTGTTTCACCTGCACCACCACTGGGTCCCCAGCCTCTGCTGTTTGCTGGGTCTGAGATAGATCTTGTACTGGATGTTGCATGTAATTTTTTGTTTGTTTGTTTTTAAGAATCATTTTTTATTTATTTATGCATACAAGAACTGGGGTATAGGCCAGAGGTGCAGACGGTGCAGAGGATTCACCAGACACAGAGTAGGGAGCAGAATAGGCCGATCCACTGAAATCCACTGCTGAGGGGAGTAGTGGGTGAGACAGGAGAGGTCTGCTGCCCCATGTGTGTTGCTCCCTGGCCAGGGATCAAACTCAGTTCTAAGCAGTGATAGCACTCAGAGTTAAACCTTATGCCACCAGGGAGGCCCTGTTTTTTTATTTTTTTACATCTTTTGATATTATTTAAAAGGATAGAAGCACTCCTACTGCTCTACTTTTATAATAAACATGCTCCTTCCTCCCAACCTTTGGCTCAGGTCGGGTTTACACGTGTCTTTGTCACCTTTACTCAGTGTCCATCTCTCATGACAGAGCAAGCTCCATGTCTCCAGGGTCCTCTCTCTGCTCCCCATTGTGTCTACAGGGGAGGCAGCTTGGGGAGGCAGGAGCCAGCCAGGGAGAGGGATTCTGGGAAGTGAAGAGGAGGCAAATGCAGAGAACACTTGGGAGATGCTCCCTGGTTCACTGAGAAAAGCATTTCTCAAAGTGTGGTTGTGGAATCCTTGAAGTCACCCAGAGCCTGTCACAGGATCCACGAGGTCAAAACTATTTTCAAAATGTCACTTAGACACCATTGACTTTTTCACTATTTTGACATCTGCTGAGAGGTAAAACTTACTAAAAATGGAGCTTATATTACTAACTGCAGTTATTCTTCACAAGTACTTACCTCAGAAACACAACTCCAAGCCAGTTTCATTTCAAAGTGTCTTGGTTGAAGCATTAAAAATTATCTTCATCATTCTATCATCTTCGATTCACATTTTACAGCACCTGATGCGATGACACGCAAGTGAACACACCACACTCCTGCTGCGTTCCCAGTTATTATGTGCCAAGAAAATATTTGCATGTGATGAATTAGACTATTTTTCTTTTTTTGTAGGCAATACCACCTTCACATGAAGGAATGAATGACAAAATCTGTGGTTATTGATTTGGTTAATTAGCAGACATTGTCCTGAAAATGAGTGTGTGCTCCTTTAAGAAAATCAACTGACACGGGCCTCCCTTGGTGGCACAGCTGTTGTGCGCTGGGCTGTGATCCCTGGCCACCAGCTAGGGTCCCACATGGCACTCAGACCTCTCTGGCTGCCCGCTGCTCCCCTCAGCAGTGTATTTCGTTGTTCTGCCTGTTCTGCTCCCCACTCTGGCTCTGGTGAATTATCTCACCTTTCCGTACTTCTGACTGTACCCAGTGCTTGTGTAAATAAATAAATAAATCTTTAAAAAAAAAAAAAAAAAAAAAATCAACTGACAATTGATAACTGAGAGTAACTTCACCTTGACCAAATATAAGTGCTCAGAAAAAAACAGAATCATGAAATTGTGTCCTATCACTTGACAACTTCCAGTAGACTTTTACTTTTTGGATTTGTAGTGAAAAATAAAATGAATTTTTTAAAATAATTTGATTCTGGTGTAATAAACATTGAAAACCTTTATAACTTGTGGAACAATATATTACTTTTAAAAAATCACACATTAAAACTAACTGCAGTTAGGTTTATGCAAGAGAGGGCTATGGAAATGTAACAGAAAAAGAAATATTCAGTGACATAGTTTCAGGTTTCGTTTTGCAAATAACCTGGGAGAAAATACCACCTGTATAGATTTAATTTAGTATCAAAGTGGAATATTCACAATAATGTGAAAACACTACTCCAACATATTTGTGTGAGGCTGTAGACATTTTTTCATAGTCTTCAACCAGAAGCACAGCTAAATGCAGAAGGAAGCATGAAATTCCTACTGTCTTCTAATGAGACAGACAAAAAAAAAAAAAAAAAAAAAAAACAATGAGACAGACAAGAAAGACAACTGCAAACATAAAACAGGTGAAAGATCCATTCTTCCCATTGCCCTGATTATTTTCAGAAATAAGTTATTTTTCTTAAGAACACTTTCTATTAACATGCTTGGATTATTACTATTATTCTAAATAAACAGCTGCATGATCAAACTCAGCTTTATTCCCAGTGTGATAAATACGGGGAACGATACCTCCTAAACAAGATTATACTTGGCGTCCTCCCTAATTTGTAAGACTGGACATGGATCCTGGAAGGAAAATGACTGAGAATCGCAGACCCAGCGCTTGGGTCATGGAGACAGGGTGACAAGCTTTGGGTGAGGAGAGGTGGGGCCAGAGCAAAGCCCCAGGCCCCAGGGCTGTGTCTAGGGCAGGAAGGTTACTGTTGGGGATACCCCACTGCCCCCTTAGCCTCACTTCTGTCTCCACCACCTGTGCTGGGCCCTGGACACTTGTGACTCTTCCCCAGTTCTCAGTCCCAGTGCCTGGAGGCTCCCAGAGAACCAGTCAGCATCACTGCCTGCCCAGGTAAGTCTCCACCCACCAGCCTGGAGTCAGAAGCTCCCCAGACCCCAGCAGTGCTGGTCATGGGGCCCCCAACCTCCTCCTGCTGCTTCTCTCCAGGGCTCTGACCCAGACAGACACCTGGGCTGGTGAGAGCAGGGTGGAGGGAAAAGGTTTCTGCAGAGGAAGCTGCTGCCTTAGGCCCCGCTGTCACCCCCGTGGCCCCCTCAGTCCTGGTCCCTTTCTGTCCCCCCACCCTGCCTCCTCCTTTTGTCCCCCTGAGTCTTGCCCCTTCTGGACCCGATGCCCATGTTCAGTCTCTGGAGCTCCCTCCCTCCTGGACACTTTCTCCCCTGCCCCATCTCCCCGGGACTCAGGACCTGCCCAGGGGGGAGGGTCCGCCGGCTTCACCCCTCCCCGGCCCCAGGCTCCCCCTCTCTGAGGCTTTTAGAAATGGTGATGTCCCGCCCGGCCTCGGGGAGCCCCGGTACCTCGCGGGGGGGGGGGGGCTACGTGGACGGCACGCAGTTCGGGGTTCCACAGCGACTCCCCGGGCCAGAGCGCAGAGCCCCGGGCCCCTGGGCGGGCAGTCGGGCGAGGAGACGCGGCTCCGCAGACACTCGGCGCAGAGGCTCCAAGCACTCCTGGAGGCCCCGCGCGGCCGCCGCAGCCAGAGCCGGGCCGGGGAGCAGCGCTGGCTGGGGCGGGTCACCGCTCCCGCCCCACCCCCCGCCCCTAGTCTCGGGGCCCCGTGACCCCCGAGACCGTGGCCCCTGCCAGGCCCCTTGACCAGGGAAGAGCCCGCGGGACTTTCACCCTTTAGGTTTTTTTTTTTTTTTTAACCAAAGAGTAATGTGTTTATTTCACTTGAATTCTTAAAAATACTTTTTTTTTGTCAGTTGACACATAAAATGTCCTAATATAAAAAATTTCATTAAAAAAGGAAAGCATGAAAAAACAGGCCCAAAATGTTAAGATTTTATTTACAAAGCTTCTTCGTTGTACAGAAAGTAAAAATGCTGTTACAACTTGGGCATAACTGGTAGTCACAGATGGTGATTCACCAATCACAGCTGTCCCCGCTACAGCAAGTCTTACACGAAAACCTAACAACGCTTACAATTTTGTTGGGGTGAAGTCTCCAAGCTTGGTGGTGGATTTCCAAGAGGGACTCAATGGAGGGCGGAATGTCACAGGAACTGTTCTTTGGCTCTTTGGGTGGGTGGGTGTCCTGGGGTTTGTGTCACAGCTACCTGTTTTTTTTTTAAACATCTACCAAATCCTTATGCGCAGTCCAACCAATACTGAACAGTTCGCTCTTTTTTTTTTTTAAAGTTTATTTGGGTTTTAATCATATTCTCCTTCATCATCTGTTTCCCGCTTCCTTTTTTCTCCTTTTCCGCTCTCTTCCTCCTCTTCATCCTCATCCTCGTCATCTTCATCTTCATCAGCTTCTCCATCCTGTCCAAAATCTCCTTCCTCCCCACTGACTTCGTCTTCGTCCTCGTCTTCGTCCCCTTCTACATCTTCATCCTCATCCTCTTCATCATCACACTCTTCCTCCTCACCATCCGCATCTTCCTCCTCCTCTGCAGCTTCTCCTTCTCCATCCTCCTCCTCTTCATCCACACCATCCACCTCAGCATCTGAGCCGGAGGCTTCTCCATCCTCTTGGTCACAGCCGTCCAGACAGGTCAGCCGAGGCAGAAGCTTGAACACACCCTCTCGGTGGTCGTTCAGGTCAGTGACCTCACAGTTACACAGATCCAGGCTTTTCAGACATGCCAACCTTTTCAAAGGTTCCAAGGTGCTGGTGTCTTTCAGTTTATTTCCACTTAAGTTAAGATGTTTGAGATTTGGAAGTTTTTCTGCTAACATGTCCAGAACGCCGAAGATTCTATTGTCACTGAGCTCAAGCTTTTTCAATTTAGGTAGTTTGGGGAGATTTGAGACTGAAATCCAGCCTACACCTATCAAACTGAGGAACTCTAAGTTCACAGCTTCATCTGCCAGGCCCTCAATTTTCCCGTCATTTGCTGTGCAGTTGTCCAGGACAAGTTCTCGAACCGCGGCCGGGGGCCGGTTCCTCGGCTCTAGGTGGATCCTCCTCTTCATTTCCACGATTCCCTCTTCCCTGCTCTTCAAACTTCACTTTCCGCGGCAGAGGCGGAGCGGGGAGAGGCTCCCGGCCCGCGCGGCGAGGGCCGTCGGGAGGGGTCTGCTCGCGGCAGGCGGCGGGCGGCGGCGGGCGGCGCCCCCGGAGCCAAGTTACTCGCGGGAGCGGAGAGAAACCATGGAGGGAAAAAGCACCCTTTAGGTTTTATTTAAGTTTAGGATTATTCAGGGCGGGAGATCGGGTGCGGGCGGGAGACCACGGGGTTACTGAAGGGCGGGGCTGAAGAGGGGCTGCGGGGCTTTGGTCTCCCTGAGGCGCACACCCCGCAGGGAAGTGGAATCATGGTGAGAACGCGCCCCCTTCTGGCCAGAGAGGGAGCTGTCGGCCACGTTTTCAAGCTCTGGGATGAAGACTGGCCCAGAGGCTCCTACTTTTTCTGAAGGACAGTTAAGGAATCCAGTTTCTCCTAAGAAAGAAGGGACACCACCCCTGAAATCTCCCTTCACTTTTGGCCGGCAGCCATCTTAGGAACAATGAGTTTCTCTCTCGAGATCCTGTTTTTTGGTCAGAGAGCATTTTTGGAGCTCTCACTCCTGCCTGTCTGTGTCATCACCCTCCACCCAAGTCAGTAACAAAATGCTTAGAGACCTGCATCCCTCCCTGGGCTCTCACCTGCTATCCCGGACTCCCAGACCAGGCTGGTTTCTGGGGTTTGTGCTTCCTCCCTCCAAGCATATTGTTCTGTCCACTGGAGGATGGTCACATGAGGCTGCTTCAGTGTCCATGGAGGAAACACGAAGCATGAAATTTCCGGTTCTCCCCACTCAGGCCCCCAATCGCCATAGGTGACCCATCGCCCCATCTCTGAGCATGAGGTCACCCTGAGTTGCTGAGCCCTGGGCTTCTACCCTACGGACATCACCCTGACCTGGCAGCGAGGTGGGGAGGACCTGACCCAGGAGACAGAGCTGGTAGAGACCAGGCCTGGGGGAGATGGAACCTTTCAGAAGTGGGCGGCTGTGGAGGTGCCTTCTGGAGAGGAGCAGAGATACACGTGCCATGTGCAGCATGAGGGGCTGATAGCACCCTGAGTTCTGAGATGGGGTAAGGAGGGAGATGTGGGCACGTGGCTGACTCAGGGGCATCAGAAGCCCTTCTGGAGACCTTCAGAAGGTCAGACTGAGGCCTCAGGTTCAGGGTCTGACCTTCCCTTCCCTTCCAGTGCCACCTCCTCAGTTCTCCATCCTTGCCGTGGTCCTCATTTCCAGCTCGGTTTTCTTTGGAGGTGTGCTCATTGCACACAAGGTGGCTTCATGTGTGAAGGGAAAGAAGAAGTGCTCAGGTAGGGAAGGGAGTGGGGGATCTTGTCCACTGAGGACTTTCAGGTCCCAGGGAGAACTTGCCCTGCCTGGTTAATAGGAAGTACCATCCACACATGTGTGTTGCCCAGAGGGCATTTGGTCCAGTCCCCCTTCATCTCCTTTCTTCATTTTTCCAAGTCCTGATCTGGGACTTTACTCACAGTTCTGGAAACTTCCCTGTGGTGCAGGATTAGAAGATTCTTTTAGGCTTCTGACCTGACTCCTCCCTGGGTCTCACATGTGGGTCTCACATGATGCTTCTGCCCACAGGAGGACAAGGAGGAAGCTACACTCAGGCTGCAGGTAAGTGTGGATCAGGGGTTTGATCCCTGAGCCCCTGGGGACAGTGTAGATGGAGCCCATGGGGGAGTCACTCTCATCAGTTCCTCCCGTGGTCTCATCTCTGACCAAGTTTTGTTGTGTTCTCCCCCAGGCAGCCACAGTCCCCGTGCTCTGAAGTGTATCTCAGTCCCTATAAGTGAGACCCTGGAGGACTGCAGTGGGGGTGGGGGTTGAGGCAGAGAGGCTGGGACTAGGTGACGGGGATGCTTTCAGGAGGACATCATGAGAATGCAGTGGACCATTGATAATGTTAACACGCAGGTAATTCACCTGAGTTTCTTCATGATTATTTTCTTTCACAGTGACAGAGAGCCTTGTGTTGGCCTGAGTGTTACAGGATTTCTTTTTGCCCACATTTTGTGCCTTTATGATGCCCTGGCTTAAACCTTCACACCTGCGAGAATGGCCCATGTCCAGAGGACCAAAACAACAAGTACTGGCAAGGATGTGCAAAAAAGGGGACAGTCCTGCGTTATTTTTGGATAAAGACTGAGCCAGCCCTTCTGGAAACAGTACTGAGGTTTCTTATAAGGGTGAATGTGGTTCTGCCTTTGGACCCAGCAATTCTACAGTGAGCATCTACTCACAGAGGATAAATACTCTCCTGTGCCGGGACCTGCACTTCCGTCACCACTGCAGCACTATTTACAGTAGCCAAGCTATGGGAACCACCTACATGCCCCAGACAGGTGGGAAATTAAGAAGCAGCTGGGATTACAGGTATACATATATGTACATATACTGGTGACTCCAAAGGAGAGGAACATTGGGGTTTGGGGGAGGGAGCTGTCAGGGGTGAAGATGCCACCACATCCTAGCAGGGGCCAGGGTGGGGGGAGGGGTCCTGCCCAGCTCTTTACACATCAGGCCAACCATGTGGTATTTCTAAACCTCCTCCTCTTCTTCAGTCCTGCTCAGAAGCTGTTTCTCCATGGAACCGTATTTACTGAGGTGTTGTTCTGACACTCTTTACTCTGTGTGCGATTTGAATTAATTTATTCTGGGGCTGGATGTTAATTCACTTCCCATCATCTTATGTTGTATATCCTGTCTCTCCTGTTACACACACGCATACACACACACACACTGGAAGGGGGCACATGCACGCACTCCCCTCTCCTTGGGAACCAGATCCTCACTCAGCACTGGGGGTTACTCTGACCCTCTGTCTCTGGTTCCCCTCAGAGCCGCCCTCTCTGCAGTGTCTCTACTCAGCGGTGTCTTAGCAGCCCCAGGAGTCCCTAAACCTCCTGCCTCTGACCTTGTGGGAAAACAGCCCCTCACCCTGTATGATAGTGAGGAGGCGAAGGCAAAGTCCTGAGGTCAGTGACTGATGGAAGAGATAATTTACTTTTTTTTTCTTTTTCCCCTCACTGTATTACTCAATTGAGATTAGCATTGGTTTGCACACCGAAAGTGTTCAGAGACAAGGGTCACACCGCTTCAGATGTTTGTTACCACATCATACCCACCCTAAGGGCACCCATAGTTCTTCACCATAGTCCACTGGGCCCTCTTCCTACTTTGTTTCCTACTCTTACCCCAGCCCATAGCTTCAATTCTGCAGTCATATATAGAAAGTATGTTTTGGTTTAGTCTGTCCGTGTTTTGTTTCTTTATATTCCAAATATGAGTGAAATCATCCAGTATTTAACTTTTTCACTTCAGACTTATTTCACTTAGCATAATCCCATCCATATCTATCCATGTTGTTGCAAATCCAATATTTCATCTTTTTCACAGCCAAGTAGTATTCCATTGTGTATATAGTTTGTGTTCTTTATCCCCTCATCTGTCATTCAGCACTTACGTTGTCTCCATAGCTTTGTTATGGTAGACAGTGCTGCAGTGACCATAGGAGGCGCATATTCCTCAGTACTAGTGTGTGTTTTTTTTTTTTTAAAGATTTATTTATTTATTTATACAAGTACTAGGTACAGTAAGAAGCACGGAGGGTGAGAGAATTCACCAGAGCCAGAGCGGGGAGCAGAAAGGCAGACTGACGAAATACACTGCTGAGGGGAGCAGCAGGCGAGACAGGAGAGGTCTGTCGCGCCATGTGGGACCCTTGCCGGTAGCTGGGGAACAAACCAGTGCTGCAGAGGCCGCGGGCACGGGGAGGTCCCTCAGAATTAGTGTTTTTATCTTCTTTGGATAAATACCAAGGAATGGGATGCTTGACCATGTGACAGGTCCATTTTGAGGAACCTTCATATTCTTTTTTCCATAGGGGCAGGACCAATCTGCTATCCATAGAAAAGAAAGGTTCCAGGTTACTGCCCCACTCAAGGAAAGGTGGAGCTGAGCAGGGATGAGAAGCTAAAGAAGAGGAGGAAGATGTGGAGTAAGATAAGGAAAGAAGACTGGAGGAGGAGCATGGAGCAGGGAGACATGTGAAGAAGAAGCCAGGCTTGCTCCTCAGGCTTGGACTTGTGCCAGGGAGTTGAGGACATGGAAAGAGACACGTGAAATAGACAAAGACATGGGTGAGAGGCCCATGGGGAGGCTGACAATGGCAGCTGTTATCTTGATGTGGATTTTGATTTTGCTCTTTTTCTTTCAGACTTGCATGGCCCCTCCTGTCCTTTCCCATGGGTCTCTACCAGTAGCCTTGGTACCAGTAGCCTTAGCCTTGTGGCAGGTCTTCGGGCTTCAGTGGGCCTGCTTTGGGCCAAGCCTGTTTGGCTGGGCATTTACCCATGAGGGGACGGGTAGCTTTGGGTGCTTCACTTGGAAACTATTCTAATTGTATTCTTTCTCTTCTCTCTCTCTATTGCACACTGATTCTCTATTTTATACTAGTTGTATTAAAGTGCTTTTCTATTGAAGGTCTTACACTTCAGAGTATGTTTTGTCTTTATGCAGCTGATGGCAGATCCCATGTAGAGTGTGCAGTTTTGAGGATCCAGGGAACCCCTCATTCTGCCCACTAACAGGACCAGTCTCCATTCCCACCCACCATGTGCCAGAGTTCCTTTTCCTCCACATCCTTCAATGGGCCATTCTCACAGTGTGAGGTGGTAACTCATTGTGGTTTTAATTGGCATTTTCCTGACAGCACATGATGACAAACATTTATCCACACACCTATTGGCCACATGTGTGTCTTCTTTAGAAAAATACCTATTTAGCTCCTCTGCTCCTAGTTTGAGTTGTTTTCTTGTTTTGGAGTTCTTTGTAGATTTTGGATATTAACTCCTTGTTGGATTGATGATGTGCAAATAGTTTCTCCGATTTGATATTGTCTTTTCATTTTAACGATAGTTTCCTTCACTAATTAGAAGCTTTTTAGTCTGATATGATTCCATTAGTTTCTTTTAGCTTTTGTTTCCTTGGAGCACAGGAGACATTAGGGGCAGTGAAAATACTCTGCATGATATTCTCATGATGGACACAGGTCATTAAATGTTTGTCCAACACCCCGAGAATGGACAACACCAGAGTGAACCCAAAGGAAAACCATGACTCTGCAACTACAACGTGCGGGTTCATCACTTGTAACCCACATGTCAGTCTGGTCTTAACACATGATTTGGTCATGATGTGTGAAGAGTTTTATAAGTTGAGGAATGAAGTGTAATTTACTTTAGAAAGCATATTTCATGCTCATACAAGGACATTTAAATAACACTCAAGGATATGCATAAGTCATTCCCCTCCACCCCCAACACCCCAATCGGCCATTATCTGCTCAAAACCAGTTAGCAATTTATCTTCTCTCTTCTAAAAAAAATACACACACACACACACACACACACATATATATATATATATATATATATATCCATGCTCCTGTCTGGGCAATAGTGTTTGCTTTCCCATCAGTAAAGGAGTTCAGGTCACAGTGTGGGAGGAAACATTTGCAAATCACAAATCTGATAAAGGACTGTATCTACAAATAATGCCTAAAACTCAATGATCAGAAAGAAATAACCCAATTTTAAAAAGGACAAAATAGTGTAATAAATAAATAGCACTTCCTCTATAAAAATGTACAAAACTTCCATACAAACAGCAACTGTAGTCATAGAAAAGTAAAAACATGAACAAATGCTCAATATCACAGTTAAGAACAACAGTGACACCATCACCCTGCTGTCCAAGGTGTGCACAACAGGAGCCTCATCAGGTTCATTGTAAAAGATCCTTAGGGGCTGAGAGACATATCAGAGCCCTAGGCATTGTCGCTGCCTGGTTGAGAACAAAACAGAACCTGGTCAGAGATGAGACCACAGGAGGGAGTGATGAGGGTGACTCCCCCATGGAGTCCATCTACACTGTCCCCAGGGGCTCAGGGATCAAACATTTACCTGCAACCTGAGTGTAGCTTCCTCCTTGTCCTCCTGTGGGAAGAAACATCATGTGAGACCAGGGAGCAGTCAGGTCAGAAGACCTAAAGGAATCTTCTAATCCTGCAGAACAGGGAAATTTCCAGAACTGTGAGTAAAGACCCAGGTCAGGACTGGGGAAAATGAGGAAAGGAAATGAGGGGGGACTGGACCAAATGCCCTCTGGGCAACACCCGTGTGTGTGGATGGTACTTCCCATTAACCAGGCAGGACAAGTTCTCCCTGGGATGTGAAAGCCCTCCGTGGACAAGATCACCCCACTACCTTCCCTACCTGAGTTCTTCTTCCTCCACATCACAGCTGCAGCCACTGCAGCTCCAGTGAGCACAGCTCCAAGGAGAACCAGGCCAGCAATGATGCCCGAAGTAGGGATGAAGGACTGAGGAGGGGGCACTGGAAGGGAAGGGAAGATCATACCCTGAGCCCCAGACCTTATCCGGACCCTCTGAAGGGCTCCAGAAGGGCTCCTGATGGCCCTGAGAACAGCCTCAGTGCCCACATCCTCCTCCTCACCCCATCTCAGGACTTGGGGCTCCAGCAGCCCCTCATGCTGCAAATGGCACGTGTATCTCTGCTCCTCTCCAAAAGGCACCACCAGAGCCGCCCACTTCTGGAAGGTTCCGTCTCCCCCAGGCCTGGTGTCCACCAGCTCCATCTCCTGGGTCAGGTCCTCCCCATCTCGCTGCCAGGTCAGGGTGATGTCCGCTGGGTAGAAGTCCAGAGCCCAGCACCTCAGGGTGACCTCATGCTCAGAGGTGGGGTGGTGGGTCATGCGTGTCTTTGGGGGATCTGAGGTGGTAAATCAGAAAACTCACTTTGTGTTTCCTCCATGGACACTGAAGAATCCTCATGAGACCATCCTCACAATAGACAAGACAACTGGTGTGGCAGGAAGAAGCATAAAATGTAAAAAAGAGGCTAATCTGGGGGGATCTGTGAGATTCTCCTATTCCTTAGAAAGTCCTAGAATGAGGATGAAAACCCAGGGTAGGATGAAGCAGAGGGAGTGGAACACAGACTTTTTATTCCTGACCTGGGTGGAAGGTGAATGAACAGAAAAGCAGGAATCACATAACTGAAAATGTTCTCAGACCAGAAACAAGACTGAGAGAGAAACTCGTGGTTCTCAAACAGGCCCCTGGTCAAAAGGACCCGGTGACATGTGATGTCAGGGACTGTCTGTCTTTCTCAGGAGAGACTGGATCCCTTCACTGTCCTTCAGGAGAAGCAGGAGTCTCTGGGAGTCTCTCTAGGGCAGAACATGAAACCCAGGGGAGTCCCCCCTCTCGGGACTAGAGAGAGGACTCATTTCCCGCAGTGACTCCAGGCAGGGGAGGACTGGGAGGCCTCCAGGCCCCTCTTACCCGTGCGCTGCGGAGTCTCCTTCCCGTACTCCAGGAATGTGCACAGCCACCTCAAGCACTTGCCCTTCTCATAGTTCCTGAATTTCTCTGCCTCACCCTGGGTCTCCCACTGGCGCCGGGTGATCTGAGCGGCCGTGTCCGCCGCGGTCCAGGAGCGCAGGTCCCCGTTCAGGGCCAGGTAATCGGCGCCGTGGTAGGCGAACTGACTGTACGCGCGGAGGAGGAACCCGTCGGGCCCCATGTCGCTGCCACACATCCTCTGGAGGGTGTGAGAGCCTGTCCAGAATGAAATGGGGTGAAAGTCCCGCGGGCTGTTCCCGGGCAGGCTGCAGAGAAGCCTGGAGGGGGAGACCCTGAGCGACCCCCCGTCCGTGGGGATGGGGGTGCTGACCCGGCCCGCACCCGCGCCAGCTCACCGCTCTCGCTCTGGTTGTAGAGGCCGCGCAGGGAGTCCAGCTGCGCGCGGTACCACAGTGTGCTGTCCCTTAGGATCCGCGTCTCCTCGTCCCAGTCCTCCTGCTCCACCTGCTCCGCCTGCTCCGCCCAGGGCGCCCGGGGCTCTGCGCTCTGACCTGGGGAGTCGCTGTCGAACCGCGCGAACTGCGTGTCGTCCGTCCATGTAGCCCACGATAATGAAGCGGGGCTCCCCGAGGCCGGACCGGGACATCGCAGTGTGGAAAAACCTCATGGAGTGGGGGCCTGGGGGCGGGAGGGGAGACCAGGGCTATTCTTCTCCCCTTCGGGGGCTCGAGTCCCAGGGGGGCGCCCACGAGACAGAAAGTGGGTGAAAGACGAGTGAGACCGAAAAGCGGCTGCGGGACGAAAATAGCCGAGACTCGGGGGGCAAAAGGAGGCTGGGGTCTCGGGGGGACGGAAAGGGGCTAGGACAGGGCTGGGCCGACGTGGGGGGACAACTAGGGCGGCGGCGAGGTCGCGCCTTTCCCACGTCCCGCCCACGCCCTCGCTCCCGCCTCTGGTAGCGCCCTGTCCCCTCCCGACCCGCACTCACCCGCCCGGGTCTCCCTCGGGGCCGCGGCCACCGCGAGCAGGAGCAGGAGGGCTGTGCCCCGCATCCCCCAGGACGCGCCTCCACCCGGGCTGGGGAGACGGAGTCCCGGCGGGTAGGGAGGGCTTTGGAACAGGAGCCGCGGGGCTGCTGATTGGCTGCTCTGGAGACCTCCAGGCAATGGGGAGTGAGACCTGGGGTGAGTCACCAGTATCCAGGAAGGAGGACAAGCCCAGGCTGTGAGAAATGAAACTGGGGAGATGAGGAAGCCCCAACAGTCACCTTCCAGCCCCAGACAGCGCCCTGGGGACTGAGACCTTGAGAACCACCCCTCCACCCCTCCACCCCCCGCCCAGACATGCACGAAGATCTTTGTCACACTGTTGCCTCCCTGAATCCAGGCCCAAAATTGGGTCAGCGTTTCTCAATTTTTTTTCTTTCTCTGCAGTCTCACAAATTATTACGGATCCCATGTATAACTTTTTTTTTTAAAGATTCGTTCATTTATTTATACAAGCACTGGGTACAGTCAGAAGTGCGGGAGGATGAGAGAATTCACCAGAGCCAGAGCGGGGAGCAGAGCAGGCAGAAGGACCGAAGTACACTGCTGAGGGGAGTGGTCTGCGCCCCATGTGGGACCCTCCTCTGGTGGCCAGGGAGCAGCCAGGGATCGAATTGGCTCTTCAGAGGCTGCGGGCAGCTTTGCAACCCAGTGCTCAACCGCTGCGCCACCAGGGAGGCCCTCCCATGTAAATTTTTTATGTGGGTTATAGCTTTAAATATTTACTTTACTAGAATAAAACCTTTCAAAATGATGTTATTACTTCTTTACTTTAGAATATTGATAACCAATGTATGCTAACAAAGCATTTTGTAAAGATTTATTTACCTATGCCTAGAAGAGCTGGGGTGCAGGCCAGAGATGCTTGGGGTGAGAGGATTTACCAGAGACGGAGGGGGAGCACATCAGGCAGATGTACTGAAACACACTGCTGAGGGGAGCAGCGGGCTAGACAGGAGAGGTCTGCTGCACTATATGGGGTATCTCCCTGGCCAGGGATTGAACTCACGCTGCAGTGCCTGCAGGTAGCTTCATAGGTTGCCTCTTAACCCTTTGCACCACCAGGGAGGCCCTAACAAAGCATTTTTAAGAAAATAACTTTCTGTAAATATAAGGATAATTAAAAGAGGGGAACTTTCACATTTTATATTTATGCAAGTGTCATTTTTGTCTCATTAGAAGATCTTTTATTTTCATAGTTTCTTCTACATTTAATGTTTTGTTTGAAATCTATGAAAAAATATACAATCTCATGGAAATATGTAGGGATAGTATTTTAATAACCTCTTCAGATTATGGATATTCAACTTTGTTACAACTTTCATACTAAATCATAACTTATAAGTAATATTTTCTCAAAGGTTATTTGCAAAGTGAAACCTGAAACAATGTCATTGAATATTTCCTATTGTTATATTAACTCCATACATTCTCTTGTATATTAACGGATCTTGTACAATTGTATGATTTTTTTTTAAAGTTACCTATTGTTTCACTATGTGTATATAGATATACAGTGTTAATTACACCGGGGTCAAGTTATCTAAAATCACATGCTTTGTTTTTTACCACAGATCCCAAAAGAAAAATTAGTCTACATACTGTAAGTTGTCAAGTATATAATAACAGGACTCAATTTTCCATAATTTTGGTTTTCTCTGGGAGTTTACATTTTATCAAGGCAACAAATGCCATCAGTTGATTTTTTGATTTTTTGATTTTTTTTAATTAATATTTATTTTATGTCAGTTGATTTCTTAAAGGGACAGACTCACATTCATTTTCAGGAAAGTGTCTGCCAATTCAACTAATCTAAGTAACCATGGTTTTAGCTATTCATTCCTTCAATTAAAAATGCTATTGCCGGGCCTCCCCGGTGGCGCAGCGGTTGAACACTGGGTTGCGAAGCTGCCTGCGGCCTCTGTGGCGCCGGTTCGATCCCCGGCTGCTCCCCGGCCACCGGAGGGTCCCAGGCTCGTCCCAGCAGTGGACTCAGACCTCTCCTGCCGCCTCGCTGCTCCCCCAGCCTGCGCAGCCTCTGCTCCATTTGGCACTCTGGCTGCTCTCAGCTCTCTGCCTGCTCTGCTCCCTGCTCTGGCTCTGGTGAATTCTCTCACCCTCCCATGCTTCTGACTGTACACAGTGCTTGTATAAATAAATAAATAAATCTTTAAAAAAAAGATATTGCCTAAAAGAAGAGGCTAATTCATTTCATTTTTCTCCCTGGGACAAGGCCCTTTGGACTGTAGCAGACATGCCTTATGTGAACGTCCTTGTCATCGTTTCAGACCTTTAAAAAATGTGGATTTCAGGATGATAAATAGAAAATATGCTTTCGTGATTTAAACAGGACATTTTGAAGTGAAACTGGTTTGGTTTGGATTTTTTTTTTTTTCTGTGAGAAGTGGTGGTGAAGAATGACTACTACTGCAGTTGGTACTATAATTTCCATTCTTACTAAGTTCTACCTTAGCAAATGTCAAAATAATGAAAGGCAAATGGTGTCAAAGTGATGTTATAAAAATAGTTTTGTCCTCCTGGATCCTGTAAAAGGTTCTGGGTGATCTCAAGGGTTCCACAGACCTACTTTGGAAATGCTTTTCTCAGTGAACCAGGGGGAGTCTCCCAAGTGTTCTCTGCCTTTGTCTCTTATTGAGCTCCCAGAATCCATCTCCTTGGTTTGGATGTCCTATTTCCGAAGTTTTTCTTAGAGCTTTGCCCCTGGATGCCTGGAAGAGAACTCATTCCTCAGAGATGATGAGAGTCCTTGGTCTGAGAAGGGAGGTGGAGAGACAGGTGCTTCCCTTTGGAACTGAGACTGTTTGTGTCTGGAGGCACCAGACCCACTGATAATCTTTTTTGATTTTGTTTTTCACCTGCTTAATATGTATTTCCATCGAGGGACCTCACCTCATCTTTAAGAGAGATAATACTGGCCCCTTGATTTTACATGTGTTTAATGCATCTGACTTGATGCTCCCAAAGTGTGGCAGGCTGCGCCTCCCATGCTGTCTCTTGACATGGTCTGGGCATTGGGGGAGACTCCCTAGAAGCAGGGAGTTCCTGTGCTCCCCCAAAGAGGGAAAGTTGTACTTCCCAGAAGAGGGGAGTTCTTGCACTTCCCAAAGAAGATCTGAACTAGGGAGTCTCCATGGCAAAGCCTGCTAAAGCTCTCCTCTTTGTTCTTGGTTAATGCAGAAGTTAATTAGTAATTGGCATATGAAAACCCAATTCGGACCTAGACATTAATTGATTTGTTATTCTTACACCTGAATTAGTATCAAGAAAGTAAATAATGCAAAAGGTATAGCTAGGAAAGAAATGTTTGGCCCTGAGAACTATGGAGAACATGCTGCCCTGAACCAGCTGTGCTTGGAAACCATAGCCTAACCTGGCGGGTACCTGTTTGTGGTAACAATACATTTCCTGGTGTAGGCAAGAGGTCAATAGTTCGCAGGCCTTGTGGAGGTTAGGAATTTCTAGTTAAGAGTTAGACTTCAGTAGAACTTACATAGATTTGATAAGTTGTTTTAGACCACTTTGAAGTAATTAATATGTTAACCAAGTTAATTGAGTACTAGGAGATAGACTGATTTTAGTAATTGAATATAGAATAGGAATTTTACACCCATTTTTGTAATTGGGAAAGTTTAATTGTTGCCAAATGTTGTGCTGTCTTGTATGATTGATCATGCTAGTAAATGAGCTATACCTAGGAAACTAATTGTTCTTAGGTTACCAAAGAAATGACCTACAGATGTAAGGTCAAGGGAGTCTTTACATGATCATGAGAAAATATGTATTGATTGTCTTTGCTCTGCTTCAATGCTTACGCTGATGTATTCCCACCTCTTGCCTTCAGGTATAAATAAAGAACCACTGAGACCCTCAGTAGGAGATACTTGCATGAACTAAGGTGTCTGTGTCTACCTCACTTCTGCCTCGCGCCACTTCCCCTTAGCCCTCCGAGAAAGAGAAAAAACTTTCACCGACTCCATCGTCTCCTTTCTGAGATCCCTGACACGACTTCTAGCTGGAGCTGGTCTCCAGGACCAAAGCATGAAGAGCTGTGCTATCCAACAGAAAGTTCTGGAAGAAAAAAAATGTTCTATATTTGTACTGATCTATATGGTGCCTCTAACTATTGAACACTTGAAATTTGGCTCATAAGCTGAGATATTGCATATTTTACTATATATCATTTAAAATTAAAAAGCCATATGTGGCTAGTAGCTACCATATTGACAGTACATACTGAACTTCCAGTATCTGCCCCCCAATATTTATTGTATAATAAAATTGTATAGTAAAATATAATGTATAATAAAATTACCTTCATGTGGAAGTCATGGATTTTTCTACATGGGTTTTTGTATATCCTTAAAAAATGGCATATCCAAATAGTTTAATTAACATGTATTTTAACAACAGATGGAGAGGCAAGATCCCAAATCTGAATACAAACTCTGTCTAATCCCTGAATGACCACTAAACTGTGCTGAGGTGTGGGACACTCAAGAGAAACTGCTGGAAAACCAGAAAGAACTTAGAGGACGTTCTACCCTTGAGTGACAGACTCATCCTGGTGCAATCTGTGAATCTGCACCTAAGACTGATGACTTCCCCAATCCACACAAGCTCAGAGAACCAGAAGCAAAAACCTTACTGAATTGAGGAATCAAACATCAGATTTGGTGGCTGCATTTGGGTATTTGGGTGCACCAGGAACAAGTGAATGGAAGCCAACATCTGGATAGACACTGTCCAAAACCTTGGTTGAACATTGAATCACAAGGAAACAAGTCAAATCCTTCAAGACCCAGGATGAAAATGCAGCAAGTGGAGACTGAAGCAACAGAGCAGGGGTCCAGCTGTGCACACCTCAGGGGCAGATTTTTCCTGGTTCTGGCAAATGTTCAACTTCAGTGGGGAAGAAAAGGAATCCTCAGAAAAATAAAAAAGATTCCAGATGTGCTAAATCTTAGATCATTAATGTATTTGGAATTAAGTGTG